CGATAATTCATCAGACTCGAGTGTAACGGGGTGGCTCCTAAAATGATTAATTATTGCCATACGCAGCACTCCGACTTCAAGCTCGAAAAATTTTTTTTTTTTTTTTTTTTTTTTTTTTATTAATCTCTTCTTTTTTTTTTTCTCTCTCTCTCTGTCTGTCACTTTCTCCATTTTACTTTTAGTAATCACCGTTATAACTTTACGACAATTTTTATGGGGTGTTGTATATCGAGTCGAGAGTTCTAAAAATTTTCCTATTAATAGATAGAATTTTTGGAATAATTTAATTAAAAATTGTAATTAATTTGAAATTAAAAAAAATTATAAAAAGAATTTAAAAAGATAATAGAAAGAAGGAATCATTTTGACATGCAATCGCGAATAAATAATATTTTTAATGAAAAAAATGAGAGTATATTAATAATATATTATAGCATTACAAATAGTGCTTCTTTTTTTTTTTTTAATAAAATGTTTTATATATTATAAGGACAAAGTATTTTTTTTTTCTTTTTAACTAGGAATAATGCTGACTTTATTTACGATCACACGCTCGAATCTCAGACGATGTTGTGTTTTATGATCGCGAAGACAAAAAGAGAAAAAGAAAAATGTAAGAAAAATAAAAAGAAAGGGAGGAAAAAAAAAATGTATAAAAGAAAGAAACGTTTTTGGAAGGATTCCGTGATTCGAGCCAGTGCATCGTAAACTTCTGCGATAGAGATAATGCCACGAGATCATGATCTCTTTCTTTTTCTTTTCTGAAACATTTTCTAACTCTTTTTTTCTTTTTTTTTTTTTTCTCTTTATATCTTTCTTTTTCTCTTCTTTTTCTTGATTTTCTTTTACATTGTATCTGCAAACGATATGCAAATTTGATACCCTCTTATCAATTTGTATATTATACAATATAGTCATTTCATTTATCTTACTACAGGTAAAAATAAAAAGTAAATGTTAATATATTTATATATATATTCTTTTTTTTTTTTTAATTATAATCATTGAAATATTATTACTATATTAAATCGAATAAAAATTCAATAAAAATATTAATATAATATTAGCGAGTTGACAAAAATAATATTTAATATTAAATAAAATCATGCAATATCGCGCAAATTAAATGGAATTAATTTGATAAAATTAAAAAAGAAAAAAAAAATGTGTATCGATAAACACAAAAAAAAAAAAAAAGAAAGAAAAGAAACAAAACGAAATTATTTTTCGAACAGTACGATATTGCGAGATAATTTTCTAAATTAATAAATACAAACACACTTGCAATCATTTTCATTATTAATATATACATTTATTATAATAATGTAATAGTAATAAAAAATAATAATAATAATAATAAGATGAAACGTAATATAATGCATTAAGATTTAGTGTCCAGTTTTAATTAAAGAAAATAAAGAATAGCGCGATATCCGAGTAAAATTACGCGATCGTAACATTTTGAAAAGGAAAATCGAATTTCCAATGAAAGCACGACACACAAAAGATTCTATGTCAGCAATCCTTCGAATAACGACGAGACGTTCAACGACTCCAACGTAAAACCATTCGATTCTTTTATGTTTCTCTATGGAACTTCAAACTCGTCCTCTTCTCAACAGTTATAATAATAATAATAATAATAATAAAAGTACTTACTCTTACAATTTTTAATTTCGATTCCACCATTCGTAAGTTTCTCGATAATATCAGACACATATATTTTTTTTCATCGAATAAACATTTTATTTTTACTTTTTTTTGGAAGGGGAGGAGGGATATTTTAACTTTGATAATTTAGAAATCCAAATAAATTAAATATTACTTGTTTTTTCTTTTTTTTTTTTTTAAATCTAATTTTCTTACACCCAATATGTCGTACGTAATTACAATTTGTTCACTTATCGTTAGCAATTCGTTGTCATATATATAATACGCGTGAAGAAAATAATAAAAAAGAAAATTAAAAAAAAGAAATCATTATGGTTGTTGAACGATGATAGTTGAGAAAACAGGAAGCGTGAATTAATTAAGAACGATTGTCACGTTTCATGCTCGGTTTCGTCCTTACTAAATATTCGTAATTGAAAACGAGTGAGTTTCCACCGTTTCACTAGAAACGGATAGAGAAAGAAAAGATATATGTATATATATATATGATACATATATACATAGTCCACATAGCATGCGTGCAATTTACATTTAACTCGATATTCCAATCATGTTTAATCGTTAAATGTATTAGAGAAAGATGGAAATGGGGGGAGGGGGAAAAAAAAGATGATAAAATTGATTAACTTTTTATTCCCACTCTATACCCCCCCCCCACCTCTGCCACCCCCCTTCTCTGAATTCCTTGGATTTTTGTCGATGCTTATAAAACTTCTTATACGAAATTCCCGCTTAAAACTGCGAAAAATTTTTATATAAATTTATATTTATTTAATATATGTATATTTAATATGAAGGAATTTATAAAGATTTCAATAAATGTGGAAAATTTATGAAAAAGAAATGAGATACGATAAGATAAGATCTATTTTTAACACTTGAATAGCATCTTTTTTTTTCCATTCCTTTCATTTTTTTCTTTTCTTCCTATTATTTTTAATTTACTACGAAGATAGATATTTTTTCAGAAAAAAAAACTCCTCCATATATAAATATATAAATTTAATTTATTAATCCGGTTTTTTGTAATAATAAATATAAAGTTAACGAATTTATAAAAAAAAAAAAAGGAACAAGAAACAAGATAAACCGAGATGTCGGCAAATAGTTGATACAGTTTAATTACGTCTTCATAAAATTTCAATGACCTACGAAATGTTTTACTTTCTCTCTCTCTCTCCCTTTATATATATAGGGTTTCTCTTCTATTAACTAACATCGGTTAATCAAAAATTCGATACCGTTGAAATGGTTTACAGAAGGGCCTTTCTACATGGGGTGGGGAGGGTCGTGGGGAAATGTAATTAACGCATGGACAACCAAATTAACGTTTTAATTATCTTCGTTAACGCTCTTAGTATATCGGTGTTTTAAGTTTACCTCGCGTGGTAATCGTAAATACATGTTTTTTTTTGTTTTCTTTTTAATTATTACACGAGTAAACAACACATATACGACATTATAATAATATATCACTTTATACGTCCAACGTATCATGTTTTTAATTATTCCTGATAAGCTTTGAGGTGGTTAACACGACGTATCAAAAATTGATCTAATGGAAAAAGGTTTAACTAAAGTATCGACAGAGTACTGACAGAGACAAAGATAAAAAAGAAAGAAAAGAAAAAAAGGTGGGTTGGGTGGGGTGGGGGTAGGCAGGTAGGCAGATGATGGTTGGTCGTTGAAGGGGGATGACGATCGACGAGGAAAACTCTTTTAAAATGTCGTGCGTCACGTGAATCGCCACTAAAATGTAGGTCGCTGCGAAATTACACGTCACTTTTTGTTAGACACCCTCCTGCCCCCTTCTTCCTCACCCTACGAATCCCCACCCTATCATCCAATCATCCCTGTTCCGTTGTAGAAGATGAGAAGTTAACGCACGTTAAAATGAAAGGCTAGTAAAATAGATGATAGGGAAAAACTAACAACTCGTTTTCTGTATGCGTGCGTTTGTATGCACTTGTGCGTGTGCATAAATAATCATTTTACGTTACACATTGAGTGTTAATTCATTTGAAATAAATAGTATTAACGTTGTGACGTGTACATTTTTTTGTTTTTGTTGTTTTATCTAAACTTAATTACGAATTTGTATTTTGATTATTTCAAAATGTTATGTAAAATTGTAATACATACATCCATTTTTGTCCCTTTTTAATTATCGTATAAAGGGAACATTTCAACACTACGATAACTATGATATAATATATCTAATTTTAATTGTGTGAAATAATAATTGAAGATAAAACAAAAAAAAATGCCATCGATGTTAGCATTTACGTTTATTGAAAATAAAAAATTAATTCGAATAGATGAAACTATCGAAATTTACAAATACCAAATTCTTATGTTCAAAGGATATCGTTAATACACAAAACGTAATCCTGAATAAGCCATAATACCAGTAGTTAGTATTATAACAACATATTAGTATCGAATGGGTACCTGAAATTCATGATATCGAAGGATATACGTATAACTTTCCAACAGTTTCCCATAATCCATCGAAATTGACTCTCTCTTTCCTTCATTCCCCCCATTCGTTCACCTCCCTCTCCTTCTCCTCTCCCATCGCTCTCTATCTCTCTTATTCACTTTGCTTAAGTACTTGCACAAGTTGCAAGGAAATCAGGAATTCGAAGTTGCTAACGTAAGCGCCGCGAGAGGTTTAGCCAAGAGAAATACAGTGGGTGGTGGTGATGGAAAAGGGCCGAGGGGAAGGGGCAGGTAGTATTTTAA